TTTTTTTTTTTTTTTTGGTTTTATCGAGACAGGGTTTCTCTGGTTTTGGAGCCTGTCCTGGAACTAGCTCTGTAGACCAGGCTGGTCTCGAACTCACAGAGATCCGCCTGCCTCTGCCTCCCGAGTGCTGGGATTAAAGGTGCGCGCCACCACTGCCCGGCTTCGAAGTGCTTTTCTAAATCCCATTTTCTAAAGTGTCCTCTTCTTTCCCAGTGTGTTCAAACATAACTTCTTTTTGGGAATTCCAAAAGGGGACTAAACCAAAGTAAATATAGCCCACAAGTTTTAGATTTCAATGCATATTAATGTTGTATTCTTCCTTTCCCAAATGGTTTCTCAAAGACATGCTAATTTTTACTGTTAAATAACAAATTCATGGGTTGGAGAGATGGCTCAGGTCTTAAGTTCAATTTAAGTACCCACCATGGTGGCTCAAAACCATTCATAATGACATTTGGTGCCCTCTTCTGTCTTGCAGGCATACATCCAGGCAGAACACTGTATACATAGTAAATAAAAACCACACAGAAACCCTATTCCTGATGATTTTCCACTCATACAGTATAAGATTAGTAAAATGACAGGTTTCACACATACCAAGGTCTTGCCTTGAATTCAACCTCGAGCAAAACCGTCCCCCAAATGAAAAACACCAGCATATTAAGAAAGCTTTATTTGGGATTTCACTTTTTAACAAGGTAAAGTCCCACCTTTTAATCTACAGGATCTAGGGCAGTTCCTCAAAAACCACCATTAAGAGCCTTACTGTAATCATGCTAAGTGAGTAATGGTTACAAACACCCTTGTCCGGTCTTACCTCCTGAAGTATATTTTAGATCTTTGTGAACCATGAATTGAAAATAAGGGATAGCCTTCGCTGAAGAAGGGGAGAGGCTTGCAGCTGAGAAGGGCCTAGGAGGCTTCATTTTGATAAACAGGCAAAAATCAGGATATCAGTTAATTGTCACCAAATGTTTTCACATGCCTTAAGTAATCACAGAACGTACTTTCATCCAATGCCTTAGGAAAAACAGAATACATTCTACATCCCCTCAATGTAAAATGTGGGCAAGGGGCATGTCCATTTTAGACACTTTTCCATTTAAACCCAACCTACTGATATAAGCAGTTTCCATTTTAAATGCTGAAAACTGAGAAGCAGGGCCTAGAAATACTATTTTTGGAGGCTGGAAGGAGATATAGCTTCAGTTCATAGAACGCAGCTATCCTAGTGTGCAGCAAGCCATAGGCTCAGTCCCCAGAATCGTTTATTACATTCCTATAATTCCAGCACCAAGGTGCTTTGACTCTAAGTCCAAGCCCTTACACGGGGGGATTTGAGTTTTGAACCTCAAATCTGAGTTTTACCAAACTCTGTTCTGCAGTGGGCCTTCTGGGCCCTTTGTCTCACATCAATTAGCACTGAGACATAGACTTTCCACAGCTAAATTATTACAATACAGTTCACTATCTGGAAAGTGGAGCAACTGTTATAGAATCAGAGGCTTTCCCAGCAGTTGGGAGGCAGAGGCAGGCGGATCTCTGTGAGTTTGAGACCAGCCTGGCCTACAGAGCTAGTTCCAGGACAGGCTCCAAAGCCACAGAGAAACCCTGTCTCGAAAAAACCAAAAAAAAAAAAAAAAAAATCAGAGGCTTATTTATGGCCTTTGTTGATCATATATAGACACCTTCCCACAGAAAAAAATCACTCAGCTGAAGTTATTTTATGGTTGATTATGAAATACTACCTCAGGTGACACTGAGTGCATTTCCTTCCCACCCCCCACCTTCAAGGCAGTTCCCACCACCTTTCTTCCCCAAAGGCCCAGCATAGAATGCTTCCTCAGACCAAGTACCCACCTGGTGGGGGTTAGCCACAATGCCCCATAATCTGGGCCTGGCTCAGTGGGTGAGGCAGAATTCTGGGAAGTTCCTGAGTCTTCATCCACCTGCCAAAGCAAATTCATGACCATTTGTGTGGGAGAAAGAAGCATCTTTGAGGCCTGTCCTGTTAGTTGAGCAAGACCCGAGGCGATGCCTCCAGGCCAAGGATGAAACAATGTTTAGAATAAAGTTCTGGAGTCTGCAACCTGGTGCTATCTGGCTCAGTATTAGCCAGGTGAAACCATGGATAGAACTGATTTTCCCAACTTGGAATAGATGACACTCATGGGATCCAAAAGAACTTTCACTAAAGATTAGAGGCAGAACTACGTGGCTAACGTTAGACACCTCCAAAAAAATTATAAAGAGCCACAAATGGCTTGTCATTCAAGACAACCTCTGTGACTGTATTCAGTGGCCTTATATACTTAAGTCATCTGAGTTTCCTCCCCAGATGTGGAACACTCTATGCTATGGAAAACAGGAGTCATATGACTCACCAAGAGCAGGGAGTAGTAGAGCCCACACATGAACTCAGGACTCTGAATCCACCCTGAACTTCCTTTAATCTGTTTTCTAACCAGGTTTCCCTTATGCCTGACATAAAGTTGTTCAGTATACCTCTATCCCTACACCCCCCCATCATATAAGGAAAATCCACTATTTCATGTATCCCACATCATGAGATAATAGTGCTTATACTCTCAGGACAATTCTACAAGTAGGGTATACCTTGTGCTAGGAAAGTAAACTTAAGGAAACAACAGTTGTGAAAGGACTACTTCAGAAAGCCCAGTTCTAGTCATAAGGGAACTGACTTATCTGTATCCAATCTTCATCTCACCAAACACCCAGAATCTAAACTTTACTTTCCTGCCCGAACCACTACATTTTCAAGCTTCCACCTGCTTTGCCTCTAGTTCTAAAATGTAAACTGTGTTGAATAAGGAAAAACCATTATCAGTATTGATTTGTGTTCAGGTTTCATGTTTTAATTAGCTCCATAAAGGACATCCCAAACACATCAAACACAACAGAATATCTTTTCTTCCAGTATTAAAAAAATGACATTCACAAACATTTTAAAGAAGCTCTTCTATAACCAGGACTGTGACCTTGAATAAAAAAAAAAAAACATCTCTAGGTAGTCATAAATCTTGATTCAGATTGCTCATAGGTACATTCAGAAATCACTTTCTGGCCATAATAAACATGTGTACAACTATTTTAAAAATGTCCCTAAATACATATTAATTTTCAAAACATTAGCTTGACTACCTTTCTGGCCAGAAATAAACAACTTTTTTGGGCATAAAGGAAAAATATTGGTACCATAACCAATGTCTTAAAATTTGTCTTTAAAAGGAAAAATATGTTTAAACACATGGAGCTTTCTAAGAGGTCTTTATCAAACTATTTTGGGAGCTCAATTCAAAAATAGAACTTGATGTACTAAAACAGATGTTTCAGCGCAGCTCCAAAAATCTTTATAAATACAGCAATTTGGAAGGACGATCCTGGATCAGAAGTGTTATTCCTTGTGTATCTGAGAATAGTAAGAAGGGGTAGAATTTTGATGTCAGGAAGAAACAGGTTGATAACATGCTCATCTCCCAGAGTTGCTAAAGATGCTGCACACCACCTCTTTGTTTCTACCATGCCCCACAGAGCAGATTACTTTAAGGACACCCCCAGCCCCCCACCCCACAACTAGCTCTGGCATGCACCAAACAGCAAGAGCAGTCAAATGGTGTCGATAGACAGGTTAAGATACCAAGGTAACAGGGTAGTGTGGTCAGAAGAAAAACAAGAGTCAGGACAGGAGGGTTTGATGAACAGTTTGACTCAGTACCAATATTTAGGTCTCACCTACATTATGTGTGCATGCCCCATCTCAGTTGTCATAATTGTCTCTGTAATTTCCTCCTGAATAGCGGTCATAACCACCCTGGCTTCTGGGAAAAAGCGGGATTGATTTACAGGAATGTATTCTACATGGCAGAAAGTAACATTAAAAACTATACATGTCCATTTCATAATAGAAACTTTTAATAAAAGCTTTTTGTGGTGGTGATGGAAGATTAAACTAGGCCCTGGAACAAGCAGGGTGATTATCTTTGTTACATCCAAGGAACACAACAATACTTTTAAAAAGGTATGAGCAGAACATATGAAATATATGAGCACTAGGAAAAAGTACCATTTTCAGCATAAGCTGGGTATGATTAGGCTATGGAATTAAGAATACCAATACCACCAGTATCCCAGTCTCTCAGTACCCACCTGCCACTGTAGTCTCTAGACCGGCCATACCCGTACCCATATCCTCCAGGTCTACTGTCGTATCTTCCACTTCCATAGCCCTGGTCTCCACCACCTACACGCAAAGATTTAGGAGCAGTTGTTCAGATACAGGCTAACAAATAGCTTTCTACTTCATCTCATAACCAAGTCACCACAGTACTTACCTCTAGAGTAGCTGCGACCGCGCCCATGGGCCCCAAAGGCACCCCCTCTGGTTCCCCGGGCAGACTTGCCTGCATGGTCCACACGGATCTGGCGCCCATCCAGAGACTAGGTGTGGGAAGGAGACAGACACAAGGACGGCCTGTCAGTCAGTCAGAGTAGACACAAAGAAGAATGGGCACAGGCAGGTGGACAAGAGCCCAGAATTTCCTGCTGGGCACCAAATTCTGGGTGCCACGTTCCAAACAAGCTCCTCTGACCAGAGTAGCTTCACCAGGAGCTACAGAATCCCACAAACGACCTGAATCCACCGTGCTCCCCTGCTACTACTTACATCTTGACTGAATCAGGCTGAGTTCTCCTCCCCACTCCTCTAAGCTGCCCGACTATTAGGGCTAGACACCTCTCTTGGTTTGAGGCTTCAGAGTCCATCCCAGAAGACTCACGAGGTCCTCTCCGGGCAAGGCCCACAGGTCTGCAGACTCTACTACCTAAGCCCAGGGCAGGTCAACCATCCACAGGTGGCTTCTCGGCCTCATGCAGGACCAGTCGTCGCCTCCCAGGCAGCCCGGCTCTGTGTGCCGCTGCCCTCCACCCCCTAGAACAGAAGGCATGTCATGCTCCTGTGAGTGGACACTGCGGGGCTTCGTGGCCACGCTGCCCCTGGCAGACAGAGGGAAAACAGAAAAGAACGAAGAAAGTGGCAGACAGGGAGAAGGCTTCTCTGCAGGCAGGAGGCCTCACCTCTCCATTCATGGCTCTCATGGCGTCTGAGGCATGTTCCGGGTTGGTGAAGGTGATGAAGCCAAAACCCCGGGATCTTTGTGTCTCCCGGTCCTTGACAACAACCACTGGGAGAAGGGACAGAAATGTAAATGTTAACGCCCTAACACTGAAGTGTCAAGCAAGATGGCAAAGTCCTGTATCCCATTAGATTTTTTTCTCAGCCTAACTTTACCTTAGAAACATGGGAAGTTAAGGTTATAATTATAATTCCCAGACTATACTAGCTCTTATCCGGCAACCCTCAACCCATGACCACGGCTCACCCTCAGAGATAGGCCCAAAGCTGCTGAAGTGGTCTTCGAGTGCCTGCTCATCGGTGTTGAAGTTGAGCCCTCCCACGAAGAGTTTCCCCTCTTCAGAAGACATGGCAGATGTAAATCCTATAGGGCGAGGATGTGGAATATTGGTGAAATAGTGAAATGTCAGACGCCGGAATACTGAGGATTACAGCGAACACAGAAAGCAGGTTAAGAGCAATAAATCAAATGGAAAGACTCGGGAACAGAAAAGGCGGGAATAAGAAGAACGAACCCGTCCGCCATTTCCGCCATTTGACGACCGCTACGGCGCATGCCCACATCCCATGCCACCACACCCGTCATTTTGTACGGTCGTGCAGGCCTACAACAGCATTGCATTTCCTCTTTCCCCGCAGAACAAGATGGCGGCGGTCACGTGGGAAACGCCAGCCGGCAGATTGTCGGCATAGACTGTCGCGTGGTCACTGCCGCCACCAACCCAGCCTCCCATTCGGAAGCAGCACGCCAGTCTCCCAATTGGGAGTTTTTTTTCCTCCCTCGAGCCTGGGACTCGCCCTCCTTGGAGAAGCTCAAGCCTACTCGTCAGCCGCTAGTCTTCCTACTCTCGCCTCCCGCCCCTGCCGACAAGGAAATTGAGGCGAGGGACGACCACTGTGCGCGAAACAAACGGTGCTTACCTGGAAAATTAAAACCCAAAAGGCCGGACACCCAGCGGGCTCTGAGGAATCGGGAGAACAGAGAGGCAGTCGCGCGGGAAGACGCCTGATAAAGCGTGCGTAGCACAGAACGTGCCCCAGCGCGCCCCGGCGTGAGTGCTCATTGGTTAAGGCCAGCGGGGGGGTTGGGTAAAGGGAGAGGAAGGCGGGGGAAGCAATTCGCCTTGCCGCTTCCGGGAATAGAGACGAACTTTCTGACATGCGCAGTGCATCCTAAAATAAGCACCTCCGTACTAGCTTAGACTTGGCCCCTGTTTCCTTCTACAAACGGTTTGATCCACATAGCCTTTTCCTTCCCGACGTCATCTCTCTCCTTTGATAGGAAGTCTTAGTTGACAGTAAATCAGTGCCAATGAACAGCAATCAATCTTTTTTTTGTTTGTTTTTGTTTTTTTGTTTGTTTTTTTTGTTTTTTTGTTTGTTTTTTGTTTTTCGAGACAGGGTTTCTCTGTAGCTATGGAGCCTGTCCTGGAACTAGCTCTTATAGACCAGGCTGGCCTCGAACTCACAGAGATCCGCCTGTCTCTGCCTCCTGACTGCAGGAATTAAAGGCGTGCGCCACCATCGCCCGACCAGCAATCAATCTTAATTAAATTCTTCTCTTTTTTTTTTCTTTTCTCTTTTAGATTTTAATGATAACCTACGCTCACGGCCCTAGCTTTCTTCTTCTCGGAACCTCTCCCGGCTCCAGACAGCAAGATCCCCAATTAAATTCTTTTCTACTACTTTTACCTCGGATCCGTCAAGGGCCCAATGTTTTATCCCTCCATGTCCCTAAAGTTATCACCTTCAGAGTTCTTGATGTCAGACCGTACATTTCTGAGGGCTTAACCCCTATTACCCCTTTATCATCTGCCCAGCACCTAGCCATGTTATGGGACCCTTTCCCTTGATGTCCTTCTCAACTCTGACTTCAGCTCGCATCCTTATCTGATAGCCTCTTTAAGCCTGATAGAGCTTCAGCAAAACAGGTATTTTGTCGTCAAAGGCTGCATGCAAATGCAACCCACAGAATCAATTTTGCTCTCTATTCAGGGTAATACTCTTTATCCAAAAGACTGAGTTTTGCAATGCGTAGTGAAATCCAAAGCATGTAGTGTCTGAGTCCACTGCCTGACAATTTGGTCTATCCCGGCCTTCAAGTGTCTAATAATAACTTGTTTGCCTTCAGGGACTCTACATTTTTCACTCCTAGAATGAATTTGTTCAACATTGTAAAGGCCTGTCCCCACTCCACCACCAACCCCAACACAAATAGATCTGTTAACCTTCAGATGCTATTCACCTATGGTTCCTGTTAGGCTTATTCCTTATTTCTCAGGGATTTTCAGGGATTATAGTGTTATTAAATTTTAAGTAGTATCCTTAGTTAAATACATTTAATTTTTGATTTAATCATTTCTCATCCTATAAGCTACACCTCACTGCTCAGGACAGCTTGAAGCTCATAAAGCTCTTGCTTCAGCTTCTCCAGTGCTAGAATCACAACCAACTTCTCTGGTTTGTTTTTTTTTTTTTTTTTTAAAGAAATCCTTTCCCCACCAAGTCCCAAAGATACTCATCTACACCTTATTGTTAGCTTTTAGTTTCCTGTTTTGCTTTTAGTTTAAGGTCCTCGACCCTTGTATAGGGTTTAGCTCAGTGGTAGAGTGCTTTCCTAGTATGTGAAAGTTCCTTGACTTATATCCCAGCAGAAGGGAGAACTGTGTCTGTTTTTTACTGTGCGATTGAGCCAGGAAACTGAAGCAGGATTGTGAAGTTGAGGCTTTTAACAGGTTCCAAAATAACTTTAGCTACATAGTGAGACCCTGTACTAAAACAAGCAAACAGAAATTGGGTGGTTTTGGGGGGGGGTTGCATTTTATGTAAAGATCCTGGGGATAATACCATTATCTGTGGTTTTAAGCTATCTGCACACTGATGCTGCTCCCACTAAGATTTGGCACCTTGGGTCAGGCGATGGGATGGTGGTGCACGCCTTTAATCCCAGCACTCAGGAGGCAGAGGCAGGCAGATCTCTGTGAGTTCGAGGCCAGCCTGGTCTACAAGAGCTAGTTCCAGGGGGCTGGAGAGATGGCTCAGTGGTTAAGAGCATTGCCTGCTCTTCCAAAGGTCCTGAGTTCAATTCCCGGCAACCACATGGTGGCTCACAACCACCTGGAACGAGGTCTGGTGCCCTCTTCTGGCCTGCAGACATACACAGACAGAATATTGTATCCATAATAAATAAGTAAATATTTAAAAAAAAAGAGCTAGTTCCAGGACAGGCTCCAAAGCTACAGAGAAACCCTGTCTCGAAAAACAAAACAAACAAACAAAAAAAAAACAAAAAACAAAAAAAAGTAAAGACTAATACATCACCAGAATCTTCCTAACAAACAGCATGAAATGTCTTTCTTTTATTTAAAGACAGGGCCTCTTTATGTATTCCAGGTTGGCCTGGAACTCACTACATAGCCCAGGATAGCTTCACACTCTCCATCCTCCTGCCTAGTACTACAGATGTACATGACCAACTTTATTTATATTTTGAACTGGGATCTTGCTAACTTCCTAAGGGGGCCTCAAACTCCTGGGCTCAAGTCATCCTCCTGATTCAGTCTCTGGGATGACATTGTAGATCACTGTGGATTTTATTTTACTTTTGGGGAAGGGTCTTACTATGTAACCCCAACTGACCAGTGTAGTAATATTTCATTTGTGTTTTAATAAATAAAGCATACCTGAAGATCAGAATGCAAAACAGCCACCTAGTCATACAGGCCAGGCAGTGGTGGCACACACCTTTAATCCCAGCAGCCACACTAGTTAGCCATACAGGCCGGCGGTGGTGGTGCACGTCTATAATCTAGCACTAGAGAGGAATATAAGGCAGGATAAGACAGGAACTCGCTCTTTTTCAGTCTGAATATTTGATAGAGATAAGAGCCCTCTAGAGGCTTGGCTGCTTTGCTTTTCTGATCTTCAGGTTAAACTCCAATATCTGTCTCCTCTGGGTTTTTATATATATATATGTATATTTATTTTATTATGTATACAATGTTCTGTCTGTGTGTGTGCCTGCAGGCCAGAAGAGGGCACCAGACCTCTTTACAGATGGTTGTGAGCCACCATGTGGTTGCTGGGAATTGAACTCAGGACCTTTGGAAGAGCAAGCAATGTTCCTAACCACCTAACCACTGAGCCATCTCTCCAGCCCCCTCCTCTGGGTTTTTTCTATTCATGCTACAGACCAGTAATTTTTTTTTCCAAGACAGGGTTTCTCTGTAGCTTTGGTGCCTGTCCTGGAACTCCCTTTGTAGACCAGGCTGGCCTCGAACGCACAGAGATCCACCTGCCTCTGCCTCCCGAGTGCTGAGATTAAAGGCGTGTGTCACCACCGCAAGTTGTCCTTTAAGTCACAACAGTCTTCCTGCCTTAGTTTCATGAGAGCTGGGAACCACAGGTGTGAGCTGCCATGTGTGGCTCCTTTAAAACACAAAATTAAAAATGTATTTATTTTTATGTGTATGGGTGTCTTGCTTGCATCCATGTCTGTGCATCATATGTATCTGGTGTTTATAGGGACCAGAAGAGGGCACTGGATCCCCTGGAACTGGAGTTATAGACGCTTGTGAGCCATCATGTGGTTGCTGGGAATTGAATTCTGGAGGAGCAGCCATTGCTCTTAACCACTGAGCAATCTCTCCAGCCCCTCCTTTCTTTCTTGAAGAATGTGTTTAAAACTATATATTTTCTTCTATTAATCAAATTTTCTTTGCTCCACAAATTTTGCATGCAATACTTTCATTATCTTAAATATTTATTTTGTCTTTCATTTAAGGATTAGTGTCTCAAAACTGGGAGTTATTTTTTTCTAGTGTCTTGTTATTGCTAGTTTTTATTACATATGGTTAGAGAATACACACACACACACACATACACACACACAACTTTTCGTAGTGCTGAGGCTCTAACTGGGCTTGTGCATTCTAAGCAAATATTCTAACACTTAGCCACACCTGCAACCTTTAATATTGATGCTCTTTGTGCCCTAAAAACTTGGTATCTAAGTTTTTAACTGTTAATATAAAAGGCACATTTTCCATTTAAGTAAGTTATATATTGGGTTTTTTTGTTTTGTTTTGTTTTGTTTTTGTTTTGGTCAACTTGACAAAAGTCATCTGGGCAGAGGGAACCGCATATGAGAAAATGCTTCCGTTTGATTGGCCTGTAAGCAAGCCTATGGCACATTTTCTTGTAAAATGATTGATGGAAAGAGGGCCCAGTCCACAGTGGGCAGTGCCATCCCTGGGCAGGTGGTTCTAGGTTGTATGAGCTCAACAAGGCATAGAGAGCAAGCCAGTAAAAGCTGTGTGGCTATTCTTGGTTGACAATGTGGGCACATCTGGAATGAACTAAATCCAAACTGGAGGGCACACCAGTAGGGGAAATTTTGCTTAATTTGAAGTAGGAAGGTCCACTTCTAATCTAGATCTTGAGGCTGGAAGATATGCGTCTGGGTCTTGAGGTGGGAAGACACTCCTTTAATCTGGGCCATGTCTTCTGCTGGAAGCTTGTATAAGAATGTGGAAGAAGGAAGTTTTTGTTCCCTGTTTACCTTCACCTTGCAAGCAAGACCATCCATTCCTTTACTAACATTAGGGCCTACTTCTTCAGGACCCCAGCATATGCTGAAGACCAGCTAAGACTGGCAGCTTTGCGGACTGAGCAACTGCTGGGTTCTTGAGCTTTCCATTCCCAGCCGGTCATTGTTGGGCTGCAGCCTGTAAACCATTTTAATCCTTCTTTATATAGAGATTAATCCCTAAATTCTGTGACTTCAGGGAACCCTGACTAATAAAGCAGCATCCCTACCTCTCAGGAAGCGCTGCGTCAGTCCCTGCTCCAGGTGCCTGCTCTGATTTTCCTTCATGATGAAAGCTGTAAGGTGAAATAAATCCTTTCCTCCTCAGTTGCTTTTGCCCATGGTCTTTATCAATATAGCAATAGAAAGCAAATTAAGATAGAACTGTATCTATAGCTCTCTATATCTCAAGCTTAAAATGTGTTTGTGGTAGACATACCTTCCTTATCTGTATGAATCTTCACTGTCTTGTAATTTTGTGTGTACGTATGAGAGATGAAGAGAGATATAGGGAGTGTGGGAGAGAGGGAGGGAGTGAGGGAGAGAGCGAGAGAACACATGTTGACATCAGAGGACAACTTTCAGGAAGTAATGTTCTCTCCTACCTTGTGGGTCCTGGGTTTAGAATTCTGGTCCTCCAGCAAGAGCTTTTATCCAGTGAATTTCTTCAGTAAGAGAGAACAGGCAAAAACTTCTCCAATGCAACACGGAGAAAGGGTAGGAGCCATAATAACTTGCATTTCCCCCTAACATAGACTGTATTTGCTGCCTCCAGCCACCTGTCTCTCAAAACATACCAGTTCTAGACTGCCTCCTATGGAGCTAAAGAGATGGCTCAGCAGTTAAGAGCACTGGCTGCTCTTCCAAAAGACCCAGGTTCAATTTTCAGCACCCACATGGTAGCTCACAATTGTCTGTGACTCTGGTTCTAGTAACTCCAACACTCTCACACAGAGGTGCCGGCAAAACACCACTGTATTAAAAGCAAATAATTTTTAAAAGTTAAATAAAAGAAAGATTGCTATTAAAAAGAAAAAAGACTGCTTTTTATGTCTTCATGGGTCTCAGAGCTGTGCTACAATTTCTGGAACCCATGTTTTCTTTAAAAAAAAGAAAACTGGCCGGGTGGTGGTGGTGCACACCTTTAATCCCAGCACTCTGGAAGCAGAGGCAGGAGGATCTCTGTGAGTTTGAGGCCAGCCTGGTCTACAAGAGCTAGTTCCAGGACAGGAACCAAAAAAAAAAAAAAAAAAAGCTACAGAGAAACCCTGTCTTGAAAATCCAAAAAAAAACAAAAACAAAAACAAAAAAAACTGGGTGGTAGTGGTCCATACCTTTAATCCCAGTATTTAGGAGGCAGAGGCAGGCAGATCTCTATGAGTTTGAGGCCAGCCTGGTCTACAAGGTGAATATATATATGTACATATATATGTATATACATGTGTGTGTGCATATACATATAAAATATATTTGTATTTTATGCATTGTGTATTTATATATTATATACACACAAATATCAAACACATATGTATAATATACATAAAAATATATACGTGCACGTTTTTGGTTTTCTGAGACAGAATTTCTCTGCATAGCCCTGGCTGTCCTGAAACTTGCTCTGTAGACCAGGGTGGACTCAGAGAGCCACCTGCCTCTGCCTCCCGAGTGCTGGGATTAAAGTTTGTGCATCTGCCTGGCTCTAAAAAAACCTCTTTTTTTTATTAGATTATGCAATTTTGTGTAATGGGGGGGGTACATGTGGAGGTCAGAGGAAACGTGCAGGAGTCAGTTCTCTCTTTTCACCATGTGAATCCTGGGCATCAAACTCAGCTTATCAGGCTGGGTGGCAAACACCTGTACACACTGAGCCACCTTGTTGGCCCTGGAACCTGTTTTCCTCTGCTGTTTCTCTAGTAGTGGTTTTAGCCGCTTATATCACTTGCTATCTTGAAATGGACCAGAAAGTCTAAGTATCCTAGAGAAAGAATAGAGGTTTCTGCCTTTCAGAGCCCAAGCCTCCTGCTCACAGGATGGATTCGTTTGGCATTCTAAGGTCCAAGCTGTCATACACAGAATTGGCTTGTATGACCCTTTAAATATCAGTAGAGATGGCTCACTGTTTTAAGGGTACTGGCTACTCTTCCAGAAGACCTGGATTCGGTTCCCAGCAGCCAAATGGGAGATCCAACCATCTGTAACTCCAGTTCCAGGGGATCTGACACCAATTTCTGGCCTCTGCAAGCATCTGGCATATAAGTGGTACAGAGACATACATGCAGGCAACCCTACACATAAGATTAAAGCTAATCATGGTGGCACATAACTTTAATCCCAGCACTCAGGAGGCAGAGTCAAGCAGACAGCTGAGTTTGAGGCCAGTCTACATAAGCAAGTTCCAGGACAGCCAGGGCTAGAGATCCTGTCTCAAAACAAAAACCAGAATTCATTAATAATAGAACATACTCCATAGGGAGTTGGCTAGTTACTGAGGAGAGGAATATATAGAGTCCCCAGAAAGTTCTTACATTCTTATTATTATGGATAGCCCCATGGGTCCAAGCCCCTTATTCAGTGTATACTTGGTAGATCCACTGTTTGAATACCCTGCACACAAAAAGCCTTGTCCTGGTCTTCAAGTGACTACTCCTTCCCCACCAATACTAGGGGATAAGAACCTTTTAAGGGTCACCCTCACCCACATGGCAATGTGGTAGGGGACAAGCAGCTAAGATATTTTTCTTGATGTTCCATCATCTCTGGCAGCATAACTTCTAGTCAGACCTGGCATAGCTAGGTCATAATGTGGGGACCCCAGTTAGCTCATCCACCATCTATCATATCCTTAGTACAGGACAGTTTCCTTGAGAGAAAGCTCCTCCACATTCTGATTAGGTAAATAGGGAAGAGAGTTTGCCTTTTATGAGACAGATTATTCACTCTGTAGCCCAGGCTAGACTTGAACTTGTGATTCTCCTATCATCTCCCAAGTAGCTGGGAATTATGTGCATACCACTGCAGCCTGAGCAAGGACCTGAGCTTTTTTTAGATTTATCTTATTACACAAATGAGTGTTTTGCTTGCATGCATGTATATATTCCCTGTGCACACTTGGTGACCACAGAGGTCCTAAGAGAATTGGATCTTTTGGAACTGGAGTTACAGATGGTTGTGAACCATCATGTTGGTGCTCAGAACTGAATGCAGGTCTCTGCAAGAGTAATGAGTATTCTTAGAAACTGAGCCATCACTCAGTCCCAAGAACCTGATTTTTTATCATTATCTTGCAAAGATTTAGGCAAACTGTTTTAGGGCTCAAGTTTTATCAGTGATTGGTTTTTCTGATCCATGTTAGTGGCAATATGCTGAAATGGTTAGGATAGGCATCCATCCGCTGGAAACATAGCTTAGAGCTCTAAGCATGGCATAGCAGTCCCTCAAGCTGGTTTCAAAGCACGTAGAAGGCTAAAAAACCTTAGACCTCTGCTCAGGGCTGCCAGCATCATGTACTGGACAGGCCCCCAGAAAAGAGTCAGATTCTAGAAATGATGAGTGGCCGAAATGTTTCTCTTTTTAGGCCACAAATTCCCAATTTTTGTAGTGAATCTTGCCTCTTTTCTTTGTGTGTGTGTGTGTGTGGTTTTTTTTGTTTTGTTTTGTTTTGAGACAGGGTTTCTGTGTATAATAGCTCTAGCTGTCCTGGAACTCTCTGTAGACCAGGTTGGCCTTGAAATCAGAGATTCACCTGCCTCTGCCTCCGAGTGCTGGGGTTAAAGGCCTGTGTCGCCTTTTTTTTTTTTTTTTTTTTTTTAAATCTTGCCTCTTTTTAAGCTAGAAACTCTCTCTTCCTCATCTTTTTGTGCCTGGTCCTGAAATAACATCCACAGATATCAAATCGACCTTTATATTCTAGATAGGCAGATATACCCCCAAAACCAACCAAGCAATCAAACACAGATTTAGCCTTTTCTAGAGCAGTCCCTGGGCCAGGTTCACCAATACCTGGTTTTCACCAGCTACTCCCCTGTGCCAGAGAAAGCAGGAGCCGCTCTAAATCAATTGAGTTATTTCAGTCCCATCAACCAAAGAGCCCACAGTAACTTCTATAATATCCAGGAAGTAGAAAAATACACGTGCCACAGTGATCTTTGTGTGTGTATAGTTTAGAAACAACAACAAATGCAGAAGAGGCCATAGCTTCCATGGGCAGTGCCAACACTGAGCCACACACACTCAAACCCAGTGAGAGGACCCCAGGCTCCAACATGTCTGGGGATGGTAGGCAGGGAATAATGCCCTGTGTAGACCCTCAAGACAAAAGAATAGAGTACCATTGGGGTTGGAAAGCTGGAAGGATTACAATCAAGATGGAGCTGTGGCCTCAGCCCCCTCTTCAGAGTCCCACACTTCAGACTGCAAATAATCGGCAAAGAGAGCCTTGGCCCTGCGCAAGACACGCCCTAGATGGTGTTTCCGCACCAGGCGGTCAAAATGCATGGCTAGCTCATTGTAATCCAGCCCATTGCGCATGATGTGGTCACGGTGCTCCAGCAAGATAGCCAGGCAGAGGAAGAGCATGAATGGGTTCCCTCGGCCAAACTCCTGGGGTGGGGGAAGGCCCATTGGAGGTGGGGGTGGTGGGGACTTCCCAGGATCTCTGGGAGATCCTACATCTTGCATCAAGGGGGATCCTACAGCTATGTCACCAGAAGGAGAAGCCTCCTGTGTAGATGGAGGAGATGAAGAAGATGGGGAATCAGGCCGAGAAGAAGAGGAGAGGAGTGGGTCTGGGGAGTTTAGCAAGGGCTCAGAGAGGGACTTAGAGCTAATGAGGGTAGCTGGGTGGGCTAGTTGGACTAGAAAATCCTTCCTGGGGCCCATGTTATCCCTGAGTTGCTGGAGACCATCCAGACTGGCTTGTCTCAGGAGACGTCCCCCACCACTCGGTCCCTGGCTAGATGTGGCTAAGTGGACAACAGCATCTTCAAAAGCACTGCTTCCTCCACCAGCAGGCCTCAGCATGTGCCTCTGACTTACTGGCCGTCCCCTGTGGCTACCAAAGCCAGTGTCTGCCACTTGGCTCGGAGGTCCAACAAGTTCGACTTCATGTTCAGGAGGGTCAGGGGGCAGTGAACTCCAGGTGACCTCTAGCATTCGGAGAGCATCATCAAAGGCAAATTCGCGCTTAAGCTCCAGCAGCAACCAGCGGTAACAGAAAAAAAGGTCATCAGCTCCTGCTTCTTGCAGGTACTGGTAGAAGTCTGGGTCAGCATGTCTCAATAGCAGCTTGAGGTGGGCAAACTTGGTGGCCATGGCACGACCATCAGGATGGAAGTTGGCAGCCAGGCGCTTCATGATGCCACAAAAGCATACAAAAGCATGCCCTTCATGGTCCATGACAGCAAGGATGGGTGATGCCAGGTCACTCATGCCCTGGCAGTATGATACCTGTGGATGGGTAACAGCATAGGTAGTAAGCAGGTCATGTAGGGCCCGTAGGTGTGGGCCATCCTCAGGCCCTGCATAGTAGGGATGGGCTCTGTCTGTGCGAAGCACATCCTTGAGGACTGTGCTGCGGATGAATTCCAGGTCCTCGGGGTTCACTCGCTGGGCCCACTCGCTTTTGAGCTGCTCGTACTCGCGACTCTTCCGTTTCATGTAGTCCATCCTCTCACGGCCTGTCAGTCCATCTGGGTACACATTCAGGAGGTACCGCCATACCACCTAGCCAGAGATAAAAGGAGATGAGGCTGAGCTTCAACTAGGGATCTGCCATACCCATGTCTTTAGTCACCACCCACCCTGTCTCTTATGGCCTCTGTCCTTGTGGTAGTCTGTCTTCCTGCCACTGACCTACCTGAAATAGAACCTCTGTCCTTGGACTCTCTCTACTCTACCTATGACAGTGTGTTCCACTGAATGTCTCTCATGAGCCACCACAGAGTGATGAGTGACCAAGGGGGCTCACTTTTCGAAGGGAAGGCTCCACACCACCATGATAGATCCGCAAACGCAATTCTTCAGGACGGGAGAGCTGGCCTTCGTGATTCAGGTATGTGTGAAACTCAGCATCGCTCAGAGGGGGCTTGAAAGGCTTGACATCTTCCCCATATGACCAACTCAGCACCTGCTGGACCTTAGACAATGTACGGCCCACCTGGCAAGAAAGGAAGAAAAGAAGCTACAGGTCTCTGTGCAGGTTAGGGCAAATGCCAACCAGCATACTCTGGAATGGGAGTCCCAGGTAGGCTTTTCCCTCCAACCCCAGCTGGGGCCCCCCAGTCTCCTGAAATCACCTGAGACAGGATGGATTGTGTAAAAGGCAAGGCAGCTGTCGTCAGTGAGGAACGCTTCTCAGCCAGTAGGATATCAGATCCAATGACATCTTTGGGGCTAATTATGTCCCAGTCCTCCAGCAATGGGCCTGAGCACACAGAGTGAAGCACTATAAGAACAGGTATGTGAACCCAGATCACAGGGCTGGGTTCCTCTAAAGCCTAGCTACATGCCGGGTAATAAACGATGTCTATTCCCTCTTCCCTGTATCATCCAAATAATGTTAAAAAAATCAGCTATGAATAGTTCTTACATGAGAAATGTTTCACAAAATGGCAGGGAAGCCTTTAATATTTCAATGATTTAAGTAATATTTATTGCAAGGCACTGAAGCAACAGATTAACCTTAAGAAAAAATAGTATTAGCCGGGCGATGGTGGCACACGCCTTTAATCCCAGCACTCGGGAGGCAGAGGCAGGTGGATCTCTGTGAGTTCGAGACCAGCCTGGTCTACAGAGCTAGTTCCAGGACAGGCTCCAAAACCACAGAGAAACCCTGTCTCAAAACACCACCCCCCCCAAAAAAAATAATATCTATTGAGCCTGGCAGTGCAGGTCTGTAATCTCGGTTACTCTGGAGGCTGAGGTAGGAAGATGGAGAGTTCAAGGCCAGTGCTTGGGCTAGGAGATTCTATCTCATTTTTAAAAAATACTTGACGGGGCTGGAGAGATGGCTCAGTGGTTAAGAGCATTGCCTGCTCTTCCAAAGGTCCTGAGTTCAATTCCCAGCAACCACATGGTGGCTCACAACCATCTGTAATGGGGTCTGGTGCCCTCTTCTGGCCTGAAGGCATACACACAGACAGAATATTGTATACATAATAAATAATAAATAAATATTTAAAAAAATACTTGACGGCCTGGTGGTGCATGCCTTTAATCCCAGCACTTGGAAGGTGGATCTCTGTGAGTTTGAGGCCAGCCTGGTCTACAAAGCACATTCCAGGACAGCCAGAGCTACATAGTAAGACCTTGTCTCAAAACAAAATAAATAAATAAACCTGGTGGTCAGTGAGAGGGCTCAGTGAGTAAAGGCACATGCCACCAAGTCTGATAACCCGAGTTCAATGCCATGGTGGAGGTTGTCCTCTGACCTTCAGATACTCAGTTCTATGGAAATACTAGATATTATTCTTTTAAAAATATATTTATTTGTGAGTGTGGATGGGATAGTCCTGGAAAATCAAACCCAGGGCATCACATGTTCTATGCCAGTGCTCTACTGCTGAGCTACATCATGAGACCTCTTTAAAAAACCTTTTTTTGAAACAGTATCTCATTAAGTTACCCAGGCTGTTCCTGAACTTATTCTAGTCCAGGCAGGCCTTGAACCAACTTATGCCTTAGCTTCCCCAATACCTAGAATTAAAGGACTATATGTGTAGTCACCCCTCTTGGATTTATTTATTTATTTGATGAGGAAATAGGTCTATAGATACTTGTTCAAGGTCCCACACCTAGTGAATGAAAGAAGTGGAATATGAAGCCCAGGCCCAAAGTAATGTGGGCTTCCCCTCTGTATGCTGTGAATACCATTGCTTAATAAAGAATCTGTCTTGGACTTGGCAGGGCAGAATAGCTGGGAGAAAGAAGGCAGAGTCAGAGAGAAGCCTTGTAGCCCCACCAGAGACAGACACCAGATAGAACCTTGCGAATAAGTCACAGTCATGTGGTAATACTCAGATGAATAGAAATGGGTTAAATTAAGATGTAAGAGCTAGCCAATAAAAAGCAAGAGCTAATAGGCCAAGCAGTGACTTATTAATACAGTTTCTGTGTGATTATTTTGGGGCTGAGCAGCCGGGAACAAACAAGCAGTCTCCTTACAACACCAAAGTCTGACAGCATACACTCCAGATCTTATATCAATGATAGTTCTCGCCACCAAAATGATAGAAGGTGCTATTACCATTCCAGTTGAACAGAAAATGACCAAAAAGGTTTGGAACAACTAGTGACCAAGATTCTATAGCTGGGAAATGGTAGATCCCTATTTCTAGGATCATAGCCTCATTAGCCTTACCTCATAGCCTAGACCTATCTTAGAAAAAGTGTTAGTGGAGAAGTATGTTGTGTATGTTTGACAAAGGAAACCATTCTATGCTTGACCTTAGCCACTCCTGCTCCATGACATCAGCAGAGATTTCTTCCTTTTCTATCTTTATTTCCCCTTGCAGTTTTGTTCACTATAGTTTCCTTTCTTATCTTCTAATATTTTTACAGTTTCATATGGAATATTTTTAAATTTTATTTATTTATTTATTTATTTATTTACTTACTGTGCATTGGTGTTTTGCCGTGGGTGTCAGATCCCCTGGAACTGGAATTACAGACAGTTGTGAGCTGCCATCTAGGCACTGGGAATCGAACCTGAGTCTTTTGGAAGAGCAGCAGTGTTCTTAACCTCTGAGCCATCTCTACATTAGACCCCCTTTTTCTTTTTTAAATTAAGTTTTCTAAGTTAGCACACAAAGTAATGGGCTTCATTATGACATTTCCATAAACACATATGAAAATACTTTCTTCTTATTCCTCCCCCTTCCC